TGTCCACCCTCATCATTCCCTGGGGATCTTGCTACTCCCCTCCCCTGCTGTTCTGCTGCACCCCCCCAGTGCCTTGCCTCAGCGTGGTGGGGTCAGATCAGGCGCAATTCCCACTGTATCACTGGTGTTGTCCCCCGCAGGGCCATGGGCCAGTGAGGGGCATCACGTCTCATAGTGGGGCTTCGGAGGCCGAAATCTTTATGGAAACAGATGGCTAACATTTTTCTCCTGCGGGGAAGCTGATAGGTTGGAACCACCAACATTTGGCAAGAAGCTGAGCTTTTTTAACCACTGCACCACCGTGCTAGTAGAGGTGACCAAACTATACTTAATATACAATTGAGTGTTTATTCCAGGATGTCTTTATCCTCTGTGCTTTGTTTAAAATTTGCCTAATGGCTGATTTTGCTTGCCAGGAACATAATCCTGATCCACCCAAAGCTAACTACTTAAAACCTTCATTTTAACATCTCGCCATAATTTAAGCATCAAAATAATTCCATTATTTAATTACTCAGACCATTTGCTGTGAAGCAAAAGACCATAGCCAGAAAATAGAAAGTGGCAGAAAGAACCCACAGAGCAAACAAAACAAGCCCACTTGAGCAAATGCCTTTCAAATTGAGCAAGGAGCAGTATGGTGACACTGAATGACTAGACAATGAAAAAAATAAATAAAAGAGGGCTAGCGCTACACAGCCGTTGACAAGTCAGCTCTGCAACATAGGCACTAAATAGTTTCTTGGCAATATAGGCAAAATTACTTAGCAAAAATGCTGACAGTTGACTAAAATCTGAGTTTATATTATTTGTATACATACACAGAAATTATTTCACTGGACTTTTAAAGCATGCAACATTATTTATGCTTTATGGTTTAATTCTTGGTTTTGTAATAAAGATACTTCCTGGTTATAAGAAATTCACTGGTAGAAATTACAAAACTAAACAGCACTGTTCAGTTCCATCTAGAGACTAACTTTGAACAAGACTGTTTGCTTTAAAGAAAGTCCAGCTCCCACTAAATGTGAGAGGGCTTAAAAAATCCATGGGAAAATTCTGTTATCTTTTAATTCCAGTTTTCCATGAACGTTTTTAAGCCTCCTCATCGCTTTAAAACAGCAATTTTCTTTCTGATCTTTCATACCCATTTTCTTTACGCTTACTTATAAAATTTCATAAAGCAATTAACTACAACCTCATAGTTTTTATAAATCTGTGCTAAGGCAAAATGAAAATCTGGTAAATAATATAATCTCAAAATACTAAATCCCCAAATACCCCAAAATGCTTTATATACTATCAAACAATGCTAAAATTATTTTATACATAATCAAAGCATTAATTGAATGAGGCTCTCTTAAAACCCCCAACGTAAGGATTATTCCCATTAGCATTATACCGCCTATTATTATATGGATGTCATTTGTAAATACAACATATCTTAAATATTTGATTCATGAAAACCTAAAGTATAGACATCTATATGGATAAGATACATTATAACAATTTTTATATCCCTTTAAGCTCTTCAAATACAGATACTACCTGTACCAAAAAGTCTATTTAACTTAAGTGACTTTGGAGAGAAAACCTAGAAGTTTCTCAATAATCCAGAATCAGATAATAAAAAGACGACAAGGTTGCAGAAAGTTAAGTCAATGAAACCTTCAGGAACAGAAATCCTTCAACTCTGAATAGCAGCCATGTGAGTGCCTGATGCCCAAAATCAGGCTGTCTGATCTCTGTGGGTTCAGTTTAGATCCTTATATTTTGGCACAAAATGAGTATGGGTCCATAAACGTTCTCAAGCATGTTTTCCAGAAATTCGTAAACTTGAACCAGCCACAGAATAGCATATGGCTTCTACTTCCTTTGTCACTGTAAGTAATAGGAAAAAACAAACCTTTTTCTTTGGTAGTGACTATTTATTGGTTAGGCATTTTTAGTTTCCTCTTCATATTTTCGGTGACTGTTTCCCACTGGTATCATCAACAAGGTCTCTCAGGCGAGATAAGTGGTGCAATGCCCTTCATTAAAAAGTATAAAACACATTATAAACCAATATTTAAAGATAGATGTGCCAACACAGACAGCAAGAATGGGACTATATTTTGTTTCTGTAAGTGTTAGTGTTAAAAACACTGTTGTTTGACATTCAAAGAATCTTGAAGGTAATTTGTCAAATAGCCCACTAAGAAACAACAAAATAAGCATCATTAGCATAACACTTTACAAACCATTTCTTTGTAATTCTTCATAACAGCTTTTGAAAAGATGCTTTTCTCTTTGGCCTTATTAAGAAATAAAATGCACACTTAAAAAATTACATTCAAAAATGGCCAAAATTTAAAAGAACTAGCACTTGTGAATCAATTTCAATTCTCGGGAAATCTCATTTTGGGGGGAGGAGGTGTGGGTGAAACCAATAATGTATTATAGCAACAACATTGTTTTCTGTAAATTAAAGCCAAGATCATAAAGTCAAGTCTCAAGTGAAGAAAACTCAATCATTCCTCAAAGAAGCCAAGAAGAGAGAGGCCTATAAATTTCCAGGCTTTCTCTAAAAATATTCTTCCAGTTTTTCCTCTGTCCTATCCTTCAGATCCTTGAGGACCACTAAGAAAGCATCAATCATATTTCAGATATCTGATAAATATGAAAGAAACTGAGAATATAGCAATTATGACATGCTCTAATCTCTGAGTCAATCCCATTTCTATGGTAAATTGAGAAAAGTGACTACAATACTCCATTCTGCAATCTCTAATAGTTTAACAAATAATATATTCAATAAATATATCTTCAAAATATATTCAATAAATGTACATCATATAATAATTTTCTATCTCAACCAGGATAAACAGATGGAATAAAATAGTAGCATTAATTGTTAATATCTGAAGCCCATGTACTTCTTGGACACTTTTACATTATACTCAAATGCAATAGGAGAAAAGTCTGGATCCCACTTTTTTGGTCAACTTTTAATTATTGAGAATCTCACCTTCATTAAATAAAAGACAGTAACTCATCCACAGTCATTATAAATACCATTTCTACACCCTACAGTAAAAGTTTCCTACCTAATTAATTCTTTTCTTCTTGAAGACACATGATTATGAAAAATTAGATAATCATTTGATATACTTGGGACTTACCAAGAAAAAGGAAAAGTCTTATCTTATTGCTTATAACTCCCAGAAGAGGTTATAAACCTGAGAGCTGCAGATTCCTGGGATTTATTAGAGGGTCTATGAAAATGGATGGAAAAAACCAAAGGCTATCGGTAAGTAACCATTTCCTTCACTTATCAATGTTAACAGACCAATACCAGTGGCCTTCCCTTAGAAATTACAGCATTTTCATATCAGTGTTGCAGACCTCTTGAAATGTCTTGTATACACACCACTACTTTAAGACTATAATAATTAAACCCATTGCCACAGCATGTGTGCTCCAAATCCTCCTTTCTAGTCCAAAGGTTCATGTGGTTAAGGGACCAACTATCAGTCAACTCTAAGATTAGTTGCTCATCCACTCAAATAAGTTTCACTGGTAACTGAGACATAGGACCTTTCCAATGACCCCTTCCTGTTGATCAACAAGCAGAAAGAAGTAAGACCAATCCACATGCCTATCCACAACACTTTGCTGTCTATAAAGAATAATTCTGGGGCTGTATGAAGTTTAAATCATCTTCACAGCAGGTAACCTACAAGCTGAAAATCATGAGAGAGCAGGGGGGAAGGCCCTAATCAGATTTTCTAAGTCTAAATTTACTGTTACATTACAGAAGAACAGTACAACTAAGAAGTGTAAAATACAAAGTGAAAGTTACAATAAGACCATTTCAAATAACCCAACAGAATTAACAGCTAAAAGCCAATCCAATAAAACATGAATCTTGCTCTTTGTGGTAAGATTCTTTATGTAGGGAAGACTATCGATTGTTTAGCAACATTCCAGCCAATTCCAACAGATGGTTAAAGAATCTAGGAATCTCTATCACTTTTTATGATTTAATTATTTATGGTCAATGCTTATTTTCACAAAGAAAACCTCTTCCAGGGTATAGTAAAATGCATTTGGGTCTGTGACACAGTTCAATATAAATGCTTTTAATGAAGTCTATCCTCAGTGATCAATTGAATCCCCAGACCTATTGAAAACAAGTTAACTCATCACTATCATTAATGAGAGGAGTGTTAAGAATACAAGGATTAGCAGCAAAGGCTTTAGATGGCTTGGTTTGAATCCCTATGCTACCTCTTGCTAACAATGTGACCTTGAGCAAATTATTCTCTCCCCTCATATGCATAATGAAGATAATAACTACTTACCTCTCATTGGATTATGAAGGTCAAATGACTTATACTCAAAGCACTTAGAAAATTGGCACTGGGTAAATGCTCAATAAATGTTACTTATTATCATCATTATTCACTAAATTCTACTAGGGATGGAACACTATATCTAAGTATAATGGCAAGCTACAAAGAAAGGAAAATTATTTTCATACCAAAGAAGATTATAAATTAAGTAGAGGGAGAAAAAGAAAATCTTACATAAGATTTGGTTTCTTAAACCATGTAAACAAATGGCAAAAGATGTTTAAAGTAAAGACATATAATGACAATTTCATGTCTAATGTGGCACTTATTCACCACTGTCTTAGATAACAGAATCCTATGAATTTCTGAAAGGCTATATGGTAGATTTGTTCTAGCCATGTGAAATAATGTTGCCACAGTAAAATTTTAATCTTGGCTCTCCTAAATTCAGTTCTTTAATCTTCTAAGAGTACTTTATGTTCACACAACTAAATCCATAAATTAAGACTCTACTATTCTGCCTAGATTATGACCTCTTCGTTTTTAATTTAAAATAAAGTAACTAAAAAAAAGTAGGTTAACACCCTTAAGCATTTAGATCTACTTTTATTCTAGGACATTATATCCATCATAGACCTTTATGGAGATATGCCAACTGATGATGCCTTTAACGTCATCATACTTATTTGCGAGGCTACATGAAAACATGTTTCATGAATGGGGCAGCAGGATCAACACCATTCTCCGGTCGCTGCCGCTACTCAGAAATGAAGAATCTCTCTGAGTCACTCAGGTGCATTATCTCTTCACTGTCTAAGCATGTCTCTTCAGGTTCAAACACATTGTAATAGAAAACAACACAGATTTAAGACAAAATTGAAATGTACTCTTGTGGTAGCTACACAATTTCATATCAACTTTAAGATACATAAAAGTATGGGGGTCAAATTCACCCTGTCATCAGGTCACACAGCCTGATGGTGCCTCGTTGTGGCCGTGGCCTGCTCATAAGGAGGATCCTGGGAACCTCCCCGTTTTCTCTCTGCTTCACCTTCCTGCTGACTGACCCTGATGGTGGAAATGCAGCCACCACCACTGGATCCACAAGACTGCACCCACCGGCCTGTGATATTCCTATATTCTACATCATTGCTTGTGACTACGTGGGTCTGAAGAGGGACTTATGGACTAGTATCGGACTTATGGATTTGATCTGGACTGGACTGTTTGATATATAATAACTTCTTGTTATAAAGCTTTCTCTTACACACATGTAAGTGTCACTGGGTTTGTTCCTCTAGTCCACCCAGCCTAACACATTCAAAAGGAGCTAAATAATCCAGGGACATCAGTCCTTGGAACTACTCACAAATTCCCCCATATAATTTTCAAATGGAAAATCAAAGGAATGGCTACAGGGGCTTTGTACCCAAAACATCTACAGAAATTAGAAAAGAATACTTACTTCTGAAGTGACGCAGTAATAGGAATCATACTTTCTTTCAATTGCAATTTAGAAAATTCATCTTCTGAAATCTATTTTTAAAAACACCAACAATAAAAAATGTTGAAATTTTATCATCATAAACTTAAATTTTATCAAAATGAGATGAAAAAGTATTCTCTGCATTTCCAAAGAAGTAATCACAAGAATTCAGTAGCACATTAAAAATTAGTTTTAAAAATACTACAAGTAGGAACTGGAAACACAGGGAATCCAGGGTGGATGAGCCCTACTGGAACAGTGGTGTGAGTGGCGATACTGGGAGGGTAGAGGAAGAGTGGGTTGGAAAGGGGGAACCAATTACTAGGATCTACATGTGACCTCCTTCCTGGGGAACAAACAACAGAAAAGTGGGTGAAGGGAGATGTAGGACAGGGCAAGATATGACAAAATAATAACTTATAAATTATCAAGGGCTCATGAGGGAAGGGGGGAGCAGGGAGGGAGGGAAAAAATAAAGACCTAATGCCGGGAGCTTAAGTGGAGAGAAAATGTTTTGAAAATGATGAGGGCAATGAATGTACAAATGCGCTTTACACAATTGATGTATGTATGGATTGTGATGAGTTGTATGAGCCCCTAATTAAATGATAAAAAAAAAATACTACAAGTACTACTTAAACTCAACTTTCAGTTGTCCTAAAATATACTTATTAAAAATCAAATCTTGGCTTGGAAAATTGAGACTTTACAGAACAAACTTATGCCTCAGTGAGATTTAAAAGAGGAGAGGGGAGAGCAAAAAGGATGACTACACATTTCCCAACGTCCGTGCCTGGGGAAAAACACACAAACTGGCAGAACCACCTTTCTCAGCACTCTGGAAAACAACCAAAGGTTAACAGCAAGAGATCAGAAGTAAGGCCAGGTAAAATGATAGGAAAGCTTTGTGGTGGGTTTTTGTTATTGGTTTGCCGTTGTCCTACCCTCTCTCTGAGGAAAACCACTGCAGATACAGTAGTATTAAATTGGGGAAAGTAATTTTCTTAAAAAAAAAAAAATCAAAATAGCTATTGTGTGACCTGCTTATTAACAAAAATCTAGAAGTAGGTCTAAAAAAGATATAAAGGGAAGCCAGTACACATAGTCACACACTTCACTCATAAATCAAATATGTGCTTACTTGTTTGGGCTCTTCTTCTGGCTCTGAGATTTTATTCTGATTAAAAGTTTCTTGCACTGCTTGAAGATTAAACAACATTTGTTTCAGGGCTTCAACCGGACCATGATGTTTGCCTCCAGAGAGGGTACAACTCTAAGATTAAAACAGTGATCCTGTGGTTAACCATGTAAACTCAGGACAGAGGAGAAAGCTGTATTTGGTATTATTACTTTCTTCTAACATTAAATCAATGCATGCAAAACTAATTTCAATATAAAGTGTTGAGGGGAGAAACAAAATCAAAATTATAACTCACTACCACCTCTTACCCAGTCCCCAAATTCATTTTCTTAGAAATAACCTTTATTCATAGTTTGGCATATCCTTTCTAGTCCTTGCATTTTAAAAGCAAATGCTTGCATTGATAACAAATTCAGTTAGTACACAAATTAAGATAATCAATTTTTGGAATTAAAAAGGTTCTCAAGAACATGTAACCCAGCAAGATCTTTATTAGATGTGTAAATAAAGCCAGTAATCAGGTAAGCAAGGACTACAATTAGAGTTCTAATGATAATATTTTCTGCACATTTTATATAATTTTTCATGGAGTATGCTAGATTTTTACCTCTTCATATTACCTACATGAACACACATACCTGTTATCACTGACCTTACCTGCCTCTAAAGAAGCCAACAACAGCAGGTAGCTACATTAGGTAGTCAGGATGCTTTTAAGAGAATCTGTAAGGGATATGTTAAAACTTCTTTTTAAAAATCTAATCAGCCTGTTGGCTTATCTTTGAAGTGAGTGGACATGTCCTGATAGCAATCCTCAGTGGGAAATAGACCTCTAAGATGTCTGTAATTATTACTACAGCATATATAACCGAAACCAAAACCCACTGTAGTCTGCCCAACTCATGGTGATACTACAAAGGGTTTCTGAGACTCTAAATCTCTACAGGAACAGTCAGTCTCATCTTTCTCATATGAATGGCTGCTGGGTTTGAACCTCTGACTTTAGGATTAGCAGCACAGTGCCTAACCCGGTGCCACCAATGCTCCTTATAGTCTATGTAGCAATTATTTAAACTTCAATTCTAGAGAAAATTATTGACATTATTGACATAAAGACAGCTAGGCTTATACCCTGAGATGGCACCTGAGGTCTTACGCCTAACTAATACTTCATTCAGTCACTGGTTTAGAAGAGTGTCTGATTACTTCAGTGCCAATAATAGGGTTGCAAATGCCTGCTTCTAGATTTTGTCATATCTGCCTCAAATAAACGTCTCATGTAAGTTAGTGGTTAAAGCACCTCAAAACAAAGGAAATCCTATAAAGTGGATTATATAAACTGTCTTAACTAATTTGCTAATGAATGTTTAACAAATGTTGGCACATGCGGTTGAATTTGTTCTGAGACTTTCTATAAAAACTTGGTATTGTTATGACAAAACAATAATTTTTGAATTATGAAGGGTTCATGAGGGAAGGGGGCATGGGGAGGGAGGGGGAAAATGAGGAGGCAATATTAAGGGCTCAAGTAGAAGGCAATGTTTGGAGAAGGATGATGGCAACAAATGTACATATGTGCTTGACACAATGGATGGATGTATGGATTGTGATAAGAGTTGTACGAGCCCCCAATAAAATGATTTGAGAATGATGATGGCAACAAATGTACATATGTGCTTGACACAATGGATGGATGTATGGATTGTGATAAGAATTGTACGAGGCCCCAATAACACGGTTTTAAAAAACGAACAAACCTGGTATTGTCCCTGGTGAGTAGCAACTGGGGTCTTTTAAAAACTCATGAGTAGCTGTCTTAAGTGAAAACATTGGGTTTTTTCCCCATTTAAATTCAAAAAGTTAAAATCTCAAATTTTGTTATATTTTGCCAAAAACATTAACATACACACAAAAAAAACAATAGTGATCTTTTCTGATCTGTCTTCTTTGTACAGCTCTAACTCTTAGAACTCTGATGTTTCAAATATCCAAAAATTTAAACCAAGCAGAATACAACATTTGTTAAACCAAACACATTCACATAATGCATGAACCACCTACCTATACTACAATTAAATAACATAGCCCCACTAAGAGTTGGAGGGGAAAAAAGTAGCTTTGAAAAACAGTACTTGGACTAGATATTGTAATGCTAAAGAAAAAAAAATGACCTTATACAAATATTCTAGTTAGCAAATTTGTTTCTGACAAGAAGAGTATGTTAGCAAGTCTTAAAACTATTTTTGTGAATTCCAAGATTAAACAAATAAGTAAACTTATCATAGATACTAAGTTAGGTTTTTCAAGACTGGGGCACTATTATGAGCTCATGTGATGATCTCCCTCATTTTGATGATTTGCCTTTGCCTTTCTTTGTCTTAATTAAAGATTTAATAGTGGGGTCTCTTAAAAATATATAAAAAGGGTAAAGACTAAAATAAAATCAAAACTTCTGGAATTGGACTAGAATCAGAAATGGCAGGTTATTGTAGCCAGGCACCATCTAGTTCTGTTGGCCTCAGGGTAGTGGAGGCGGTGTGGTTTGTTAGACTTAGACTAATGGTTTCCTTCAGTCATTGATTTTTTTACATTCTTTGCTCTGAACAAAGAGGGAAGCAAATTGTGCATCTTAAACGGCTGTTCCCACGCTCTTAAGAGCCCACTCACCACTATTCACCAAAGTAGCATGTAGAACATTGTCTTGGTGGACTATGTTGTTTTGATGTCTATGACTATACTGAGACTGGTTCTCAGTCCCCAAGCCTAGTGACACATTGCCTGAAAGCGTCTGAATATGGATAAGAACTTTTCATAACTTTGCCCTTCCCATATGCTCTTACCTGTTTCAACTAAGTTCATTCAGAAATTTTAAATGTAAATTCGACTATTTCCTTCTCCTCCACTGAAAACTCTCCAATAACTTCTCATTACTTAAAATAAAATCCCAAATCTTCATTGGATAGCTCACAAACTACATGACCTGACTGCTGGCAACCTCTCCCACCTTACCTCTCTCATCATTCTTTCTCTTGCTCCTTCTGATTGAGCTACAGACTAGATAATCCTTGAACCTGCCAAACAAACTCCAGCCTTGGGGATTTTGAACTTCCTATTTCCTCTACGTTAAAGGTATTCCCCCACGGGTGCTTGGCTTGTTCACGCACTTCAAGTTTTCCATGAAATGTTACCTCCTTAGAGACCTCCCTGAATGCCACATCTAGAATTTAACCCCCATCTCTATATCCCAATTTATTTCTCTTCATAACACGTATAGATAGCTAGACTGTCTAACAAAAATCCCTAACTACATTATAAAATCCAGAGGGTAAAAAAAAGTCATTCAGTGCTAGGAAGGTAGTTTCTAGAAAAGTCTTGGTACTCAAATATTTGTTGATTAGATCATTTAATAATGATCTAATATATCGTATAGTATATGGTATGGTATCTTATGTAAAATTCTAAGATCAGACATAGTCTGACAGCTTCTACTTCAATAAATTTCACTGAAAGACACAGTCTTTGAAATGTTTATGCTAAATTTTCTTTGTGAGTGTTTAACTCCTCCAATCCTCAAAGTGCACAGATCTCAAAGCATTATTTCACCATTCAACCGTCATGGCTTATATTTTAAGTCAAATAATATGTGTGTACATGTATATATACAAGCAACATACACATGTACATTTATAATTTATGTGGGAATCAATGACAAGATGCACATATACTGATTTTGTCAATTTCCCTAGATAGTAATTTTCCTATTTTTACGTTATTATAACAATTTATATTATTTGTGAAAAACATGCCTTTCAACAATTAATTTCTCTTTAAGAGAATGCTTCTGTAATGCTCTACTTAAGCACGTTTCTCAGAAAAGGAAAAACACACATTGTAATAACAATTTAAGCTCTTTTTTAGGTAGAGTTCAACCCTAGGTCCCTATATATTAGGATACAAAAATATGAGTATTAATAATTCTGGATGGTTTTGTGTGGGGAGGGATGGATTTAGAATAATTGATACTTTATATACTCGAGTATAAACCAACCTGAATATCAGCCGAGGCACCTAATTTTACCACATAAACTGCACTGAAAATGTGCTACGATCGCTGAAGACAATGGGTGCACAAGCAAATGTGGTGAAAAAAGCTGATGGTGCCTGGCTATCAAAAGATATAGCATCTGGGGGCTTAAAGGCTTGAAGATAAATAGGCACCATCTAGCTGAGAAACAACAAAGCCCACATGGAAGAAGCACACCAACCTATTCTAACACTATCACTGAAGACAAAGCGGGTGCATAAGCAAATGTGGTGAAGAAAGCTGATGGTGTCCGGCTATCAAAGGATATATAGTCTGGGGTCCTATAGGCTTGAAGATAAACAAGTGGCCATATAACTGAGAAACAACAAAGCCCACATGGAAGAAGCACACGAGCCTGTGAGATCACAAGGTGTCGAAGGGATCAGGTATCAGGCATCAAAGACCAAAAAAAATCATAGCATTGTGAGAAAGGGGGAGTGTGGAGTGGGGACCCAGGACCCCTCTGTGGGCAATTGGACATCCCCTTGCAGAAGGGCCGTGGGGAGGAGATGAGCCAATCATGGTGCAGTGTAGCAATGATAAAACATACAATTTTCCTCCAGTTCTTGAATGCTTCCTCCCCCCAACTATAATGATCCCAATTCTACTTTACAAATCCACTGGACCAGAGGATGTACACCGTTACAGATAGTAACTGGAAACACAGGGAATCCCGTGAGCCCCTCAGGAAGAGTGGTGAGAGTGGCAATACCGGGAGGGTGGAGGGAAGGTGAGGAAGAAAGGAGGAACAGATAAAAGGATCTACATATAACCTCCTCCCTGGGGGATGGACAACAGAAAAGTGGATGAAGGAAGACGTCAGATGGTGTAAGATATGACAATATAATAATAATTTATAAATTATCAAGGGCTCATGGGGGAGGGGAGACCAGAGAGGGAAGGGGAAAATGAGGAACTGATACCAAGGGCTCAAGTAGAAAGCAAATGTTTTGAGAATGATGAGGGAAACAAATGTACAAAAGTGCTTACAATGGATGGATGGATGGATGGATTACGATAAGAGTTGTACAAGCCCCCAATAAAATGATTTAATAAAAAAAAATGTTTTGAAAATGATGATGGCAACAAATGTACAAATGTGCTTGACACAATGGAGGCATATATGTATTGTGATGAGTTGTAAACCCCAATAAAATGGTTTTTTTAAATTAAAAAAATGTGCTGAAAAACTCAGTTTATATATGAGTATATATGGTATGTTCTAAAATACCTAAATGAATTAGAAAGCAATATCTATTATATTAGTCTTAAACCTTCTTTCAAGACTTAACTTCACCCACCTGGTTATCATTACTTAAAAAGTCTTCAAGGAAGTTTTTAGCATATTTTGTCTTTGAAGTTTGTTGAAGATTATCATCAGAGTCAACCGGAACTGGTGATTTGCTAAATAGGATTCAAAGGATACAATACAGCAAGTAAGTTCCCTAACTGCTTTTTAAAAAATAGACAACATATAATAGTTATCATTTAAACATATGTGGTCACCCAAAAATAATCATGGATATGATGCATACTGGCATTGCTTAATTCCATCCTCTACTTACGAAGCCTAAATTCCAGCCCCTCCCTAAACCCCCCCTTACCTTTCCCTAAATCTGGTACTGAGGAGAAAAGTCAGTTTGACAAAGGAGAAAAGATAATTCACCCCACTCCCACCTAACACTGATGTCCTGAAATTGTCCCTAAAACGCTTTCCTCTCTAAGTTACCATGCTTTCTACTTGAGTACCACAATTCCAAATTAAAGCTTCAAAATCAGCTAAATTTGACTTCTCTCCTAAACCAAATCTGATTTCAATCGTTTGTACACCAAGATAATGTAGGCTTTTCCTCATCTAGATGATCTATTTAATTATATTTCCCATCCACTTATCTTTTCTATTACGCTGGCATTAGGCTAGTAAAGCCATTATGGACACCTCTCCCCATGTAATTAGTTATCCAAGCAGCCCCTGAGAGATGACTGTTACCCTCCTTTTATAAATGCGCCCTCAGCAACTGAGCTTACCTCAGAACCAGTAGCCATCCCACGGCTGCCAAACTTGAAACCCTAAGTTCTTAAACACAACCACTTTTTCTCAGAAAACTAATATATTTGTTTACAGACTGGGAATGTGGAAGTAGAGAGGATCTAGGATTTAACTAGCTTCTCAAATTATCTGTGCTAAAGGGCAAGATTGTTTTTCTATTTTAATCTAGTGCAGGCTGACACTTTGACAAAATACAATTAGAACGCCTTTGGTAGCGCCATACAGGTTCTAACAGTTACTCTCCCTTCATCGTTATTATCTCAGCACAGGGCAGCAATAAAATAGTTCATGATCAATATCTGCCCAGAGACCAGTTGCTGTATACTAGGGAAGGATATTTATGTTCTCTGTTATATAATTCAAATTTAGGGTATGTTCATGTTGTTATTAGCTGCTACTCAAGGAACCCCCAAAGCATTCACAATGGGATCAGACTATTGTCATCAATAAACTGATTTCCAGAAGTAAATCTCCAGGTGTTTCCCCCTAATCTTCAGTGGGAGGCCCAAGTGAAACTTACTCAGCATCATGGGAACATACACGCCTCCAGTGGGTAATGAGTGCACTCGGAATTCTAACAGAACCATCACTGCCCTCCTCTGCCTCCTGAATGTTAACTAATAATCCTAAGACACAAGTACTTTTAAAAAATATTTAGTCAAATATTAAGATATTGACAACACTTCTTAAAAGAGTTTTAGTTAGTTCTTTTTCTATCTAGTGAACACTCTAGGTCAGATCTGAAACCTTGTAACTTCCAATACACCCGATCTATTTCCCAATCTGAACAGCCACAGTACTCATTCTCACCAGCTCAATCTGCCTAGAATACTTTTCATCCACTTCACCAGTCCTAGCTCAAACATCTTCAAATGCTTAACAGTTCTCTACTTACCAACTGTAAGTATTTTTATGTCATCTAACACTCAAAGTCTATCCACAGTGAATCATCCCCATCAATTATGTGGTATAATTTTCCTATGCAGTGCCTTTGTTACCAGCAAACCAACTTCAGTCACTTCTCCCTGACACAATTCCCACCTAACCTACACAGTCCAACCCACAATTTAAAAACACTTTTTCTTTTCTTTTGCATTCATTATATTAAAGTACAGAAGTACTTTAAAGAGAATGTTTTGATATCAAATGATAATATCAATGTGTAAAAGACCAGCACAATACTTGACACATATTAACTGAAAATTCATTAAGCCTACTTTTGCCTGACAAGTAACTAAACACACTCTATACTTGTTTATGCCATTCCTCTGGCACACCCACTGTGCAAACTTCTAGGAGCCCTGGGTGAAGCGTTGAGATGCCAACCCCAAGATTTGTAGTTCAAACCTATTAGCTGCTCAGAGAGAGAATATCTCAGAGACCCTAAGGAACACTTCCACTCTGTGCTATAGGGTCACTATGAGTAAGAACCAACTCAATGGGAGTGAAAGTACCATAAGTTGCCAGAACAAGAAGCATATCTGCCTTGGAGGAAGGAAACCAGAACACTCCTTAAAAGTGAGGATGGCACTACAGGAATATCTCATGGGATCAATCTCTGGAAAAGGGCACCATGCTTGGTAAAGTAGAGAGGAAGCAAAAAAGTGGAAGACCTTCAGTAAGATAAATTGACATAGAGGCTACAACAGTGAGCACAGACATAACAGTTACAAGAACAGTACAGGACCAGGCAATTTTTCATTCTATTGTACATAAGATCACTATGAATCAGAGCTGACTCAACAGTACCTAACAAAATAAAGAAGCCCTACAATATTGGGCTGCTAGCTGAAAGGTCAGTGGTTCAAACCCACCAGGTACTCTGTGGGAGAAAGAAGAGTCAGTCTGCTTCTACAAAAATTCACAACCTTGGAAATCTATGGGGCAGTTGTACTCTGTCCTACAGAGCTGCTGTGAATCAGAATCAACTAGATGATAATAAGTTTGGGCTTAAGGCAAGATATAGAGTTGCCATGAGTACATTTCTGATTAAGTTCAGATGTGCCATCACTAAGAACAAGTTTTCTTACTTAAGTTCCCAAATTTAACTCCTCCCTCATAGTAACAATTGTCTAGGTAAACATTTTAAAAATTACTCTGAGAAACTATGTCACAAAATAGTCAAGTATACACACAAGAAAAACAATTTCATTAATTACAAATTTATATAATAGCCAAGAAAATTTCAAGGAAAATGACTAAAGACAAAATGAAATCAAAATGAAAAGAAATGCACGAAATCTTAAAGTATAAAGAAAGCAACAAAAATTTCGTTTAACGCTTCTTCATCTGCAAAATAATTCTTTGGAGATTTAGGTCCTTATATTAAAATATAGATGAATATATTTACAGTGAAACAAAGGGATGGAACATAACCCCATCTGGTGGTAGAAAAATGAAACATGCTATTTAAAATGAACAACTGAAAGTAATCCTGGTGACGGATGAGCCCTATAGAACCAGTGGTGAGAGTGGTGATGCTGGGAGGGTAAAGGGAGAATGGGTAGGGAAGAGGGAACCGATTACATGGAACTGTGTGTGACCTCCTCCCTGGGGGACAGACAACCAGAGGGTGGATGAAGGGGGACGTCGGACAGGGCAAGATATGACAAAATACCCATTTATAAACTATCAAGGGCTCATGCGGGAGGGGGGAGCGGGGAGGGAGGGGAAAAATGAGGACCTAATGTCAGGGGTTTAAATGGAGAGAAAATGTTTTGAGAAACGATGTACAAATGCGCTTTACACAATTGATGTGTGTATGGATTGGGATAACAGTTGTATGAGCCCCTAATAAAATTTTAAAAAAAAAAAAAAAAAAAGAAAGTAATCCTGTTTAGAGTTATCATTTGTTTAAATCGTTACATTACATAAAAATAAATCAGTTCTTGTAGCACTTTTTTCATTTAGAAAATGAAACATTCTCATTGTTGCTTACTTACAAAGTAACAGGAATATTTTCCCATGATCTTTCTGCTTCAAGTTTATCTAATGAACAAGGACTGCCATCCTTTTTCACAGGGCTTGGTAAATCCTCAGTAGAATGTTCTAGGTTTCTCTTGGCTTTCAGGATAAGCAATTCAATTTTGTCATCTAATTTAAAGAGATTGTATTAATTTTTTAAAGGAAAAAAAAGCGTCAGAAAATTTCAAAAGAATTCAGATACTTTGGAATGCACACCTATCTCTAACAGCAGGCTACGTCAAAATACGACATCCAAGCAAAGAAAAAAAGGAAAGACACTTCTAGCTACAAAACTGTTACCCCATTAAGATATAACAGCTAATCATTACATCAAGGGTCAAACATAAAAAGCTCCTTCTAGATGCTAGTCAAACTTATAGCATTACAACTGGTTTTTAAAAAAAAATAATTACCACTGAATGGCTTTTTGGATTGTCCGGGGAGAAGTAGGTTTTCATATTGACACTGGCTACATTCAAAATCACATTTGTATTCATTAACTAATCCTTTGTCATCATGTGCAGAATTTGAAACATTTGAGTGTTCAAAAGAATATTCAAAACAATCTAACTTATTCGTAAGCCGAGTTCTTTGTGCCTGATAACTATGTTTAGGGGAACTCGAATCTTCTTTAAGTACTTTTGAAGTCCTTTGACTATTTGTTTCAGGTAATAAGTCTTGATTGTGGAGCCAGACTGGATATTTGAAATCAGGTATACTAGTTATCCCTGACACATTAAGGTCAGATTTCTGGCTAGTGAACCATCTTGGATAATTCTTTTCACAATTGTCTTCTGAACTGTCTTTGGAAGATGACTTCTTGGAAAAAGATAAAGATGGTTCAGAAATGCATTTATTAGTCTTATTCGTAATTCTTGGGTTTTTTAGCTTAACACGTTGCTTGCCATTTATATTTGTGTATACAAGAGGAGTAATAAAGTTATCTTTGCTCTTGGGGAAAGCGGATTCTTGAAATTTTGGATTCTTTTCAGCGTCCAATGAACCTAATCTTCCAAAGCATTTCTTGTTTTTCTTGTTAGTTCGGTGACCTGGTCCAATATAACCGGAGGAAGGTAACGATCCATCTGCTGGAAGTTTTAACAGATCATCAGTAGTGAGGCTAATTGAGTCTATGTCATTAACAGTCTGTTTTCTGTAACACAAGGAATGTGAGCTCTTCACGTGATCAACATCTTCCAAGGCTGAAAATCAAAGTACAGATCTGTTTATCTTCCTGTATCACATAAGCTTTATAGTAATCCCCTTAAGTGAAAATGAAGAATTTGAAATTCAACTTTTGCCCTTTCCCTTTATCCTCAATAAAACTTTTACTAAAAGATACGTTAACAAAGTAGGACGTGCTTTCTTTCTCTTGGTCTGTTTTAATTCTACCTTTTTAGTCCAGCCTCCTGAATTTCCCTGTGTTCTTTAATTTATCCTTTCTGCAACTTTTTTCATCTAAAATTGCCTGCCTTTAAGAAATAAGTATTCTATCAACTATATTGGGAATACAGTGATCACAGCCCTATAAGAGGTGAATGCAAACCATTTCCATTTTAGAGCTATACTGTAAGTGTTCAGTAAAGTACTATTTTACTCAAGTTGCATTTTCCAAACTTGTCACCATTTCCATCAAGAAAAAACTAACATGTTGCAAATTTTAGTGTCCCATAGAAGACAGACTAGAAAGACGAATGTATTTCTATCCCATCAATGCACCAAATACAGACTTGAACATATCAAGACGTGTATATTCAAACAAAACATGTTCAAACATGTCTCCGCCACTTGTCTTAGTCTTGTTAGGGTGCCTTCAAAATGAAATAGGGTCCCACCAATAGTGGCTTCTAAAGGGGCTGTGGGCCTGTTAAATTAAGGCAGAATGGTTTGCTCAGGTTATGGAGAAAGTTGTTTAGGATTCCAAAGAATTCACTTGATAGATTTTCTTGAAGGGTCCAGGACAATCAGGGGACTTAGGAAAATGTTTAAAGTGAAAACTGCACTCGTGACAAAGGGGTTAGTACAGTTACAGGGAGTTGTTTTCCCCATTGCGGCAACGCACCTGCTTGTTCTTAGAGAGGAAGGGCTGTCCAACAAAAATTTTGTTGGACAACATTCCCCATCTACCCTACATCCTGATCTTTCCCTTTCACACTTATGTTTCCCAATTTCAAAGAACATTTTAAAGGAACACAATATAAGTCCCTTAAGGATCCCAAAACTGTTTGATGTAGAGTAAGTCAAAGAGCACAGAATTCTTCAGGGACGCCTGAGAGGTGAAAAACACCTCCTTTAGAAATGTTTAGACCTAGATGAAGGTTACGCTTAGAACCAAGAGCTTTACATTTGGACATTTTTGTCTAATAAAGGTTTCCATTATTTTTAGCAACATATTTTGACTTACACTCATATATAATATTTCTGTTATCTCCCAAATTATGAATCATTGTCCCAAGAAGAACAACAAAGAAAGTCTAGTTTTCTAATGCTATAGCACATTTCTCAAAGGCTTAAAATTATTGGACATATCACTGAAAATATAAAGACTAATAAAAGCATACCATTGTTTTTATACATATATGTGGAGAATTTTGCCAGATTCCTAGAACCCTTGGCAATGTTCATCTTTCCAGTGCTTCCACCAGGACACATTTGGCTGAGATCAAACTCGTGAATATAGGCCTGTAGAGCCTGAGAAGCAGAGTCGTATACTTTGCCCTTATATTGGAAAGGGCCACCAGAATTAGACAAATTACCACCACTAGGGCTGCAGCTTGCTAGAAGAGAAGATACTGAAGATTCTCGAGAGCATGTTCTATGCTTTGTATTTGATTTTGCCATGGCTTCTTCAAGATAGACTATTTCTACTTCCTTTGAAACACCTGCAATATATAAAAGCAGGTTAATGTTGCAATTAAAAAAAAAAAGAAAAAAATATTGCAATTAAAAGGAATGATGCCCAAACAAAAACACACACATACACTGTCCACAAGTAGAGCCCAGCTCATGCTGACCCTACAAGACGGAGTAGAACTGCCCCACAGGGTTTCTTTACAGAAGATATCTTTCTCTAGCAGAAGCTGAAGAGTAGAGTGGCTGCTCTTTTGGTTAACAGTTCAGTACTTTAACCACTACACCACCAGCGCTTCAGAATAATGGCCATATACAGAAAAGCCATTAAGTACAAATTTTTTGGGGGGGAAGCACTGCATATTTTATTTGCATAAAATTTTGAGGTTTTACATATATTTTTAAAAGATTTATTGGCATATAATCTGCATATCAAACAATTCAGTATTTCAATCATATTAAATAATTTGTTTTGTAATTTCCTTCAAAGAATACCCATTATTAGAAATGCTTTTTATTATTGTACATTATACATTTTCTATTCTTTGTTGGTGACTTAGCAAACATTTATTGAGTACGATGTATCTGAGAATGTAAGGAAAGTACCAAGAAGGAGTACTCACTTTTTTAAAGTCCTAAAATCTACAGGTGAAGTCTTTTTCTTATAGTCATAGATTCTATGACATCACAATACTTAACATTCCCCTATACAGGCTGTTTTTAAATTCAAAAGTTTTCTACTGCATATAGTAAGTGTCAACACATTTTTTAGAAATGGGTCACATGATGACTGGAAACAAGATACTATGGAGAATATCCATTTCCAGTGTTGTAAATGCTAAAATGGAACCACTAGCACTACTCCACTTACAACGGGCTTCCACTCTGACAGTTCCATGGTAAACTGGTTCTGAAGTAAAGCGGCTCTATGTAAGTTAAATACTTTTTCTCCTTTCAATTTTCATTACTATTGCCTTTTATTACCAGCATCTTTATAAATCGGATCTTTCTCTTTGGGAGTTGGAAACATTCCCGACAACACCTGTATCTAAGAATGAAAACAACAACAAATTATGGCTATAACATTGAAAGTGATACATAACTAATAAGGAAGATGTTTTTTAAAAGCGGTCAATAAATTCAGTTCTTAGTAACTCAAATGTTTTAAGTCAGGGGGCTACCTGTATAGCTAAACCTCTCCAATTATCTATCTCTATGTTTGTACACACACATATACACATATATAAAAGAATAAAGCTCAAGATAATTTAATTCACAGTACTGATCTATGAAGAAATAAATTCCCTTATTATAAAGTTAGCAATATGCCCTTTTCCTAAAATAGATTAATAATTATTTCCCAACCTTTAAGTTTACACCGTCTTCATTTTCATTTTATGCTAGATACTCAGCCAAATTCTCCTTTAAAAGAAGGTTCTCCAATTAAAAAGTCAGGTGAGAAAAATAGCATGGGGACTTCTGACTTCCTCTGGCTTCAGCAGAAACAAGGAAAATCCAACTCCACACCAGTACAAGGCCAATTGCAACAGAGGCCAAATATATCTCCAACTTCCATTCCTTTTTACCCAGACACCATCCCTCCCACAGCATTCTAACCTATTCCAAGTCCAATAATTTGTTGCAATGCCCACACAGAACTCAGACAATACACATGATTATGGGGTTTATTAGGGAAGCTAACAAGTTACAAAATGTTAAGGATGCAGTTCTTTTGTAACACCTCTTCTTAGCCATGATATGTATGCCTCTCTCTAGTCCTCAGCCTCTGCCTTATTCTGTAGGCCTAGAAGCCTCTGGGTCTCAATCTCAGTGCTGCTCCTCTGCTCTGCCTCACGGTCTCAATGAAGCTATTCTGGTCTATCTCATGCTCTTGGTGTGCTGGCATTTGGTGCCTCAGCTGCCTCCACCACTTCAAACAGGGATTTCCCACATGCTCCACTTGCAGTTCTTCTTTCTTGATGGCCACAGGATTCTCCCTGGTTCTGAGAAGGGTCACACTTAATATCCAGTGGAATGATAAAACTGTCAAAACTGTTCAATACCCTCTAGCTGTTTCACACATCCTAACTGCATGGTCCCACACAATCATTGGGTAGGAGTTACAAACAAATAGAAGAGCCATTTCAAGTAATTTTAACTCATCATACAGACAGGATAAACATTATCCTATCTCAGTCTTAGAATATGCTAGTGCTTTAGCACCAGATCTAGCAGTGGTCATGAGCAGAGAACTTAAGTTATTTAGCCTCTTCTTTGAGTCCCTTAAATGCTGATACTGCTGTATATCTACAAAACTGTTATTAATCAGTTTTGTTCTTTATTCTCCCACTAAAGGCCCCTGGGCAGCACAAAAGGTTCACACTTGACTATTAATCTAGAACAATGGTTCTCAACCTTCGTATGCCATGACCCTTTAATACTATTCCTCATGTTGTGGTGACCCCAACCATAAAATTGTTTTCATTGCCACTTCATAACTGTAATCTTGCTACTGTTATGAATTGGGCGATCCCTGTGAAAGGGTCGTTTGACCCCAAAGGGTTCACGACCCACAGGTTAAGAACCGCTGATCTAGAGGTTAGTGGTTAGAACCCATGCAAGAGTAGCATGGAAGAAAGGCCTGGTGATCTGGTTCCACAAACACTCTGGCCAAGAAAACTCTGTCAAACTCTCTATCACATGGAATCATCATGAGCAAAATCCACTAGATGTCAGCAAATTTATATAGATAAAAAGCTTGGGTATGTTGGTAATTATTGAAGCAAAATGGTGAGTGCACAACTGTTTACTACATTATAATGAAATGCGCAAAGACCTGAGTTAGAAAACCAAAGGGGAAGAACATACTCAGCATTTCTCAAGTAGAAAGAACTGAAGAGAAAAGTCAAGCCTCAAGCTGAATTATTGAAGGGTTCTATGGGGAAAATATTGAACAATGCACAGAACATCAACATGATTGAAGAAATGCAGTCAGCCATTGTACCAAAAAGAATTGGTCAAGGTTCAACAGTATGTTCAACCCCAAATGCATTTACAGGGAGAAATTCAAGCTGCACTGAAGGCAATGGCAGAATATAAAGCTCCAGAAACTTATGTGATGCCAACTGAACTGTTTCAACAAATGGATGCTTGGGGAGGGCGCTCTTCTAAACCAAGAAATTAAGTGATCCATATGGTGCACATTCCAAGGAAAAGTGGCCAAACAGAAATTACTATCATTGATTCAAAAAGGGTTGCAAAAGTATAACTGATAGGGAGCTCCCAGAAATTTAAGCCAGATTTAGGAGAGTATCTCTAACACGGGATTATCACTGCTGAAGTCAGATGGGTCTTGGCTGAGAGTACACATGTTCTCTGCTCGCCAACACCAGAAAGATGTTTACTTGGGTTTTACTGACTAAAAAAGCTTTCCACAGGGTGGATCATAGCAAACTATAGGTTCCGAAACACTTAATTGTACTCATGAGAAACCTGTCGACCAAGAAGTAGTCACACAGAACCTGGGATGCTACACGTGTGTCAGCGTTTTATCCTTCAACTGATATGCTGAGCAAATAATATGAGGCTGGGCTGTGTGAAGAAAAAAATGGCCTTAGAATGGCAGGAAGGCTCATTAACAAACTGTCACATGCAAGTGATACAACCTTGCTAAAAGTCAAAGGATTTGAAGCATTTACTGAGGAAGAGCAAAGACCATCAACTTCAGTACGGATTACAACACAAAGGAAAGCAAAATCCTCACAACTAGACCACCATCATAAACCATAGGTTTTTGAGGATTTTATCTTATTTGGAACCCACAATTCAAGACCCACAGAAGCAGCAATCCAATCAAACAACAAAGTGCACTGGGAAAATCTGCTGCAAATTTAGTGTTCCAGGGCAATGAAGCCCATTTGAGGACTAAGGTGTCTCTGGCCCTACAGTTGGGACAATGAATGAGAGACTGGAGAAGAGATGCATTTGAACAATGGTGTTGGCTTAGAATACTTCAATTACCAACAGACACAAGCTTTCGGTCCACACCCCTCCCCAGTTCTCCCTCTTCAGCTAAAGGGTGGTTTTAAAGCAAATCCCATATAAAAGTCAGGCGCTCTCTCTAAAATAGAAAAATATCTTTATCAAATACCTTTACGTTAAAATGTATGGCAAGAAATGTTCATCGCTTTTGAGTGAAGAGGCGAATGTATAGTGTTAAATAAAATAAGCAACAGGCACGTCTTCCAGGAAATTAAGAACAACTCTAATCTGCTGCACACGCACAGGGCGGCGCTGGGATGCCTATTTGGCAAGCGGGCTTTCCACTCCCGGGGGCAGTTCTTCCCTGCCCCGCAGGGTGGCTAGGGGTCGGGGTCCAAGGCTTGGAGCTTGTTTTCTGGCCTTAGGGGACCACACGTAGGGGCTGCTAACCCCCCGCGGAGTCCAGCAGTTCGAACCCACCAGCTGCTCCTTGGGACGCACGAGGTGGCTTTCTACCCTCGGAAACCCACACGGGCGGTGCGATCCTGTCCTACGGGGTCGGCAGCCATTTGGCTTTGTGGTTTTGTTTCGTGGTTTTGTCTTCGGTTCGGTCTCCGCCGCCCCCGTCACACAGACACGGGTCTTCACGTCGTGGCTTCCTGCCCAGGCATCATTAAGCAGCCACCGGGAGCGCCGAGGCTGGAGGACTAGGAAGCGGACCCCGAGGCTGCCTCCCCGCGACCCCCCTGGGGCCCCCGCGCAGCCCTTCCTCGGACGTTCAGTCCGGACCACGGGGAGCCTTCCTCGCGCCCCGCCCCCGGAGAGGACGTCCTCCGCTCCCCACCCTTTCGGGAGCCCTCGTCCCAGCGCTGTCCAGACATGGGGCGCCCTTCACGCCTCCTTTCTTTCTGCCCTGACTCACCGACGACCGCCCCCAAAGAGGAGAAAAACGCACACTGCCACAACTCGGCCGAAAGCCCGGCCCCGCTGTCCCGCGGCGGGAGACGCCACAAAGCACCCCGGCCGGTTCGGGCCCCGCCTCGTCCCCAGCCGGGGCCTCGCCTCCTCGCCGCCCCCTCAGCCGTCACAGCGGCGCGCGGCGCCCGCGCTGGCTTTCAAACGGACCCAACATGGCGCTGGCTGGCGGTGCGCATGCGCGGCGTCGGGGGCCGGCGGGGGGGCGAGGGGGGAAATGCGGGGGCGGGGGGTCGCGGCCTCTTCTGGGAATTGTAGTTTCTCCCCAGCCGTCGCTGGGGCTGCTGGGAGGGCGGTCGGTTCCCGCCGCCCGGCCGCCGCGCACTCTGCCCGCACCCCGCGTTTCTCGGTCCCTCGGCGCCTGCAACCGGCCGAGCGTCAGCGGACGGGCTCTGGAGCCGTGGGAGGGGGGCGGCTTGGGGAAGAGACGGGGGGGACTGTCGCTGACCCCAGTTCTTGCTGGCCCCAGCTCTCCCGACTGGGGACCTCGGGTTCCCCGAGAGCGACCCGCCTCCGGTCCCCTGGAGAGCGTAGGGGCCGCTCCTGCCTCCATTCCCCGTCCCCCGTCCGAGCGTCCTGAGCCCCTCACCCGAAGAGCTAGTGGTCGCGGCCTCAAGTTTACCGGGGAGTGGGGTGGGACTCCCCGAACTCTCGGGGACCTTGATTCCCGGGGAGGAATGAATGGCTGGGACCCAGCGCGGGATTGGGGACCCTGTCGCGCGAGCTTGTACAAACAGATGTAAAGACCACGGGTGAACCTGTCTACATGGCTGGGGCGGCATGTCGGGTGCGAAGAATACTGAGTCAGTCAATCGAGAGATGTGTCACAACAAAAAGGAAAAAAAGATACCATCTCAATGTTGGTTTATGTTTATTTTCCACTGACCCGGAATCTCTGAAGAAGCCCTTGACCTTTACTCCATCTGATTACCTATCTGCCGCTCGTCGGAAGTGGTATCACCAGGTAAAACAACCAGCCTCGCGGTCTGCACCCATCCCCAGCCTGCGTCCTCTTAACAAATGAAAAATTGTCCATGGGCTATAAATTTCAGTGTAGCTCGAAGATTCTTTTGAAACACGTTTATTGTGGCGGTGGGTGTGCAAAGTTCCAGTTATTTCAAAATATGCAGTCCCTGCAGCCCAAGAGCTGAAAGTCTAGTAACTTGTACAATTTTTAAGACAGTGACTATCAGGTAGGCTGCTGATAAGAAATTGAAAAACAAATTCAAGTTAGGCCAAACCCAGGTGTGTGAAGGCTGACTGTGTGACATCTACATAAACTGTTAATGGTGTAAGCTTAAAATATTAGAATTAAATTTTTTTAAGTTGGAATTTTATCCACATTCCACCTAAATGCCCTATTTTTAATTCTTGAGATAATGTCTTAAAGATTCTTTTGGTAACCTCCTTAAAAATCTACCTAGACTCTGTCTTCTGCCATGCAGCTTGTGTGGTAACTGTTTCCTACTGAGGATATAAAGTGTAAATAAATATAAAGGAAATGATCAAATGTATTGGCTCAGTTCACAGACCAGAATAATTCTATTTCCACTTTGTTCCTTCACAGGTTAAGAGATATGGAAAACTACAAACAGATTCGGAGAAGAGTCCCAATAGTTATTAAAATTCTGGACTAGATTAGGTAATGTAAAACAGTCTATTTAGGGAAGAGGAGCTTAATGATTTACTTAAGCTTCTCAAATATACAAACATGGTGGCAATTAGCTGTTGTGGCTTGCTGGAGAACTAAGCAAAAAAGAAAATACATTTATGCTTCAACAGAAATAAACTTAGGTGAAAAAAAATAAATAAACGTAGGTGACAGCTAATATAGTTCTGACGATTTAACTTAGAAATGGTTTATTGAGGTATTTGAAGGCAGTAGCACTTTGGAGAGTTTTCTAAAGGATGGATTTAAATATGTCGATTTTTAGTCTAACCTTTTCTATCATTACTTGCCCTAGAGTTCTGAACCTTTTACATATATTAACTCACTTAATCCTATGACAACCCGATGATAGATAATTAAAAAAAAAATACACCAAACTCACTGCCGTCAAGCAGATGCCTAGTTTTTGTTATCCCCATTCTATAGATGTAGAAATGAGTGCTGATGGCCTAGTGGATGGCAAGTTGGGCTGCTAACCACAAAGTCCAGAGTTCGAGCCCACAGGCCCTCTGAGGAGGATTTCTGCTCCAGGAAAGACTGACAGTCTCAGAAACCAACAGGGGCAGTGCCAGTCTGTCTGACAGGGTTGCTAGTCCTGTAGGGTCGCTGTGGGTCAGGATTGACTTGATGGCAGGAATTCAGTTGAGTTCCACGTGTGGGCATTGAAATGCAGAGCTTACGTGGTTTTGCAGTGAGTTCAGTGTGTGACTGCTCCAATCCGCTAACCACTGCCCGTGGCCGATCTGTACAAAGACATGGCCATCTGCTTCTGGCAAGACTACAGCCTTGGAAACCCTGGGTGTGGCTCTACTGTTGTGGGGTCGCTTTGAGTTTGAAGCAACTCCCTGGCAGAAGGTGGGGGTAATGATGGTGGTGAGTGGCAAAGCCAAAATTCCACCCCAGCTCTTTGCTGTCATATTTGGAGCAGAACCAATCAACCGATGTTGTAACTATCACTGTATCTGAGCTCTGCTGGTGCGGTCACGTAAGTATTAGCCTGCTTACCAGAGGGTGGCAGTTGGAAAACACCAGTGGCTCCACAGGAGAAAGTTGCCCTGGGAGGATTTCCAGGCTTAGAAACACTAGGTTATGTTTTGAGTCAGCCTCCACACAGTTTGGTTTTCGGTTTTGTTTTTGGCTCCTTTTGCTTTTACCCACAGTAGCTACCCCTAGTAAGGGTTCAATTAAACATCAAAAATCACATACGCATAAAAATCGTTCCGTGGAGTCCCGCACTTCACTGAATTGATTTGAATTTGATCCTCTCTGGGGAGGTGACTTAAGCAACGATACCAATGAAAGGGGATTCAGTCACGGGGACATATTGGGAAAGAATGTTCCAAGCAGAAGGAACAGCAGGTACAAAGGCCATGAGGTAGGAAATTGCTCAGTTTCATGTGAGGAAGACTCAGGAGGTGAATGTGATTGGAGCTTTGTGCATGAGAAGAGTAGAAGGGGTGTGTTTGAAGCAGGAGCCAGGGGTCAGGTCATGTACACATACTGTCTCAGCTGCTCAGTTTGAAAACATTAACCTCCAAGAAACACACAATCAACAGATTGGAGTGGTTTGTAACAGAAAAGAAGGATAGTTAAGCTGTTCAAAAGAAAAGGGATTATTAAATGACTATCACGTGGCACGTGGGATCAGACAGTGGTGTGCATTATCTCACTTCATCCTCACCGTGAGTCTGCAAGGGAGGTCCAACCTCAGTTTTGCCGCATGAAGACCTTGGGAAATCAGATATACTAAATCGCTTATTTCACAAGATTGGTAAGTGGCCTGTGCTCTGTTATATGACAGTTTCTCATTTGAAAGACTACTGTTAAAGAGAAAGGTGTTCACGTACACATATGTACACTCACCAAATATTTATTGCTCATTGCTATGGGCCAGACCTATAGAGATAGCAGTGAAATGTAATATGATATAGCAATTTTCTTTTTGTATGATAACACTCTTACCGGTCATTTGGTTTTAAAACTTTGCAGGTGGATGGACTATAAAGCAGTAGCCCAGCAAACTGCTCAAGAAGTTTTAGATTACAGTCAAGATACAGCAGGCTGGAAAGTGGTGAAAACTTCAGTAAGAAAACATATAGGTTTCAAGGGTTTCTTAATGAAAGCAGTCATTATTTAAAAAAAAAAAAAAGATTAATCATTTCTTTTACAAACCACAATCCAGAAAAATGTATTGTTCTTTTGTATTGTTTTTCCATTTTCATTTCTTCTGTATCTCACAGCTAATTTATTTGTGGATTTTTATTCCTTTGAGAAAAATATAATTGTCTCCAAGAAGGCTTCTAAAATATTCAATGGAAATATGTGAGTACAATTTCCTATTTATAAGCATTGCTTTAAATTCACCACCGCCCCCTCATTAACTGTGGCAACTTGTTTGATAATAGTCAGGAAATAAAAATTAACTATAAAGTCATTCGATTGAAACATAATATTAATGAAAGAGGAATTATGTGCTGTGTATTTTCAAATCTGAATATAATTAAGGGGGAAAATCCTGTGAAAAGCTCAATAAGTAAGATAGGACAACAACAAAATTAAGTTTTGCAAAAACAACAAAACATGAACCTTTAGAAGTGAAGAATTATTGTAAAAGCAGATTGTTATTTTTTTCTAATGTAATATATATTGTCTTAAATCCTATCTTTCCACTAAATGAACCACTCAAAAGGAACACTTATGATCTCATTTTATTTCTCTTTTGGATATGCAGAGTTTTCTTTTCTATAAGCTAATGTGCAAGACATTTTTGAAGATCCTGTTATTTCACGTAGAGGAATTCTGGTGGCATGGTGGTTACAAATTAGGTTGCTAACCTCAAGGCCAGCAATTCGAAGCCACCAGCTGCTCTTCGGGAGAAGAGGCAGCTTTCTACTCCGATAGAGTTACAGTCTCAGAAACCTAGAAGGGCAATTCTACTCCTAAATTTACTGTCTGGGCCTCTGTCAAAAAAGTGTGCCAGTGCTTGCTCTAGTCCACGTTATATCCTACATTATTAGTGCCATAGGATATTGTATAACTATATAAACTTCTTATTGATTGCTATTGGCCTCTGATCAGTATTTTCCAAAGTGTGTGATATTGATCCAGGGCAGGGGATGCAAAAGCAGATACCTACACTATATCCTGGGCTTGAGTACAGGGTACTGAGTAATTTCTTTTTTTTCTGGAACGGGGGTAATAGGCCGAAAATGTTTGGGAATCTACGGTTTATGAAAAATACAACAGGCAAAGTTTATTAATACATTTTAGAATGGTCATCAATAAAATGAAAGCAGTCCTTTAAAAAGAAAATTGTAGTAACATTATGTATAAAGAAAATCTGTAGAGAAAATAATTTTGAAATTATGCATCTTGATTGTTGCAATATACATTTAAATGAACTTGGCTGGTTCCAACTGATTATTAACACAAGCTGGAATATACATTTACCTTGCTGATGTTACCTTTGAGTTTTCTTTACTGTTATTTACAATAATAACATACCTTGGTACTTCAATAGCCTTTTATTTTCAAATTAGTTTGTCTTATTAAATTTAGAATCTTCTTTACTTTGCTAACTACAGCTATCGTGTTGAAGGGACGATTCCACAATCAACAAGTAGGCTATGTGAATTTCTCTACCCACCTGAACACAGAATTAAATGGGATAAATCATTGAAAGTGCTCAATATGGTGCGCAGGATTGACTCGGTAATTTGTTGATTAATATTGTAGTTTTGCTGTATTAATATACTTTGTTGTATTTTATCCTAGTGATTTGCCTTTACTAAACCCATGTTTTAGACAAAGAGCATAGTGGTGTGGCAGGCTACATGTTGGGCTGCTAACCACAAGGTCAGCAATTCAAAGCCACCAGCTTTGAGGGAGAAAAATGAGGCTTTCTGCTCCGGTAAAGATTTATAACCTTGGAAACCCAAAGGGGCCGGCTCTACGCTGTCCTGTAGGGTCACTATGAATCAGATGGACTCAATGGCAGTGATATGGTATAGACACTTAGTATTTTATAGATACAAATGCAGTTAAAATCTTTAATAAAGGCTTAAACTCCTTGATTAATCAAGGACTCGATTTCAATTAGCTTATTTCATTTACAAATGATTACCACTTCCTTTTCATTATAATTTAGGTAAAGGTTAAAGAGATGTAGTGGTGTAGTGGATTATGCATTGGGCTGATAACGACAAGGAAACCCATAGAGGCAGTTCTACTCTGTTCTATAGGGTGGCTATGAGTTGGAATTGACTGGAAAGCAGGAAGTTTTTCTGGTTTGGTTTTGTTTGCCTTTAGAGGTAAAGTTTTACAGAGCAGATCATCAGTTTTACATTCAACAATTCACACCTATTCTGATTCAACTCGTTCATTGCAATCCCCTCAATGTACTATCGCTTACCCACATCCTCCCTGTTTCCTGTGTCCATCCCTCGTCCTTTTTAACCTTCTGTATTTGTCTTTGGACAACCTAAATGGTTGATTATTCTAACAAAAGGATAGGTTCCGTTCCAAACCAGAAGGGTGACTAAGGACCATAGTTTATGGAGTCCGCTAGTCTCCTTCCAACTAATAAGCTTAGTCTCTTTTAGGATTTGGGGGTTTGTTCCACATTTTTCCTCCCACTCCATGCAGGGCCTTCTAAAGTGACCCTTCTCGGAGCAGTTGGTAGTGGTAGCTGGGCCCCATCTAGTTCTTCTGATCTCAGGACCTTGGAAACTGGTGTTGGTGCTAGGCACAAGGTCAGCAGTTTAAAACTACCAGCCATTCAACAGGAAAAAGAGGAGGCTTTTTAAGTCATAAACTGTTAAGAGTAGTGGAATCCCACGGGGCAATCCAACCTTGTCCTGCAGGGTTCTTATGAGTCTGAATCGACTTTAAGGCAGTGAGTTGGGTTGTTTTTCCCACCGGTTGGCTAGAAACCAATACTGTCTGCTCACAACCTATTACCCCTCTAGCCACCAAATTAGGATATAGAACATTGTCTTTGTGAACTCTGTTGTGCCTTGGTGTCCTCCAAGACTATGGTGTTGACCAGTCAGACCTAATGACTCAGTCCCTCAAGCTGTTTGGTTAGGGCTAAGAAGTTCTTATAACTCTGCCCCTTATGCATACTTTCTGAAGTTAGTCTACTCTCTTGTAGATGTGTGCTTTTATTGTCAAAGGCTTCAACCATGGATTTTTTTTTTAAGGATTAATCATGTCTTCTTGATGGCAAATCAAGCTAGCTTAGTCATACAACATTAGGTAACAAAGACATTGCGGATACAGATTGTGGAGACTAAGGACGAGACAACAAGTAGTTTGGGTCTTGTTTTCCAAAGACTAAGGATAAAATATAAAATAACAGATTTTCCATTATAGAAAACACCTTAAAACACATCATCTCAGTTTAATAGAGGTGAAGAGAGAGAGAAAAATTTTTTTAAAAGGAGAAAGGGAAAATACAAGTATTTGAAGACATGGAGAGGTAAAAAGCTAGGACAGTGGGGGAAGAAAAAAAACTCAGTAGAAGGCAAAGGCAGTGTGGTAGTCACCTAATCTGGCGTCAATGTAAAGATTGAGAGTGTAGAGGTGGAGGCTGTCAGTGTAGGCTGTCAATCTGGAGATAGCCAATGAGACTTCTGTGTGGGCATGGCCATATCCTGAGAATTCTGGGAAATCTGGGACTTCCTCCTTGGAGGCAGAAGACACCTCTCTCTGGGACTCCCTGGGATACATTGCAGAAGACAAGCCACATGGACACAACCAGACCTATGAAGCTGGAGAAGCCACAGAGAGACCCCTGCCAGCACTGAGATGCTTAAAACGCCACTGGACCCAAAGACTTTCTACCCACTGGCTTGTGATCGTCCTGCATTTGGCTTCATTGCATGTGTTTCGTGAGTCTGAAGAGGGCTTTGTAGATTGATATTGGACATATGGGCTAATGTCGGACTTAGGGACTTAATCTGGACAGGGCTGGGATGTTTTCTCCATGTTCAATTGCTCTTGTATATAAACCTCTTTCTTACACACTTAAATGTGTCCATGGATTTGGTTCTCTAGTCTACCCAGACTGACACAGGCAGACTGAAATTTCGCTCAAGAGAAGGAAAATAATGACATGAGTGAAGATAAATCCTACAGGGTGGAGAAGTAGAAATAAGTGGGTGAGCAAAGCTGAACTTGGGTGCTGTGCACATTCTAGGTCTTTCATTAACTTTTAAAACAAACAAAAGTTTGTTGCCGTCAAGTCGATGCCAACGCACAGTGACTCTCTAGAACAGGGTAGAAGTACCCTTCTGAGTTTACAAGGCCATGACTCTTTATAGGAGTAGAAAGCCCCAACTTTCTCCGGTGGAGCTGCGGGTGATTTCACATTGCTGACCACAGGTTACCAGCCCAACATGTAACCAGTATACTACCAAAGCACCAATTCATTAACTTAGACCTCTTAAATACAGAATCACCTGCTTGCAGAGGGGGGCCCGGGCATGGGGCGGGAGAGAGCATGAGAACCAATGCTCATCCCCAAATGTAATGCATCGAAACCTTTCTCCACTTCTGTTACCGCTTGTGCTTTCCCATTCCCCCACCCCCACCCATCTCACCCTTACCAGTCTATCTGTGGGGATCTTGACTTTCTTTCCAGCAACCCCCACCCCACATGGATGGATGCTTATGTTCTTTTTGACCAATTTGTTCATTCCCTAGATACCCTTTTTAGGAGTTATCATGAACTATATTATTGTCAGGTACTGGGGATATGTAAGGCAAGACAATAGCAATGCCTTCTTTCACAGAGCTTAGATTCTAATCAGTAGTAAACAATAAAATCAACATAATATTAGACAATCAGAATTAGGAAGGCTGGACGTATGATCAGAATGTTGAGTGTTAAAAAGGATGGTGAATTAGGCAAAGACTAGGAGTGCTCATTTTTAAGTGGGTCACCTGGGAAGGCCTCTGATGAGAGACGGAGGAGTCGAATCTCAAAGAACACGCTCGAGGGAATGGAACTAGACCTGTAGGGGAGACAGAGGCAGAAAGGAGAGGAGACGCTGGCGAGAGCTCGGCAATGTCTAACGAGCAGAAAAGCAAGGTGTGCCAGGTTTGAATATAACCAGCATGGCCAAGAGGGATGAGTGACAGGTGAAGTTGGGGAGGTCAGACTGGGATCCAGTTCGCAAAGAGCCTCATTGTCATGAGGAAACACAGTCTGTTCACTGGGAAACCCTTGGGGGCTTCTAAGCAGAGGAAGCAAATGGCTTGATTTAAACCATTTAGACAGCTGAATGAAAGAGTGGGAAATAATGAAATCAGCTAGACCAGTGAGGAGGCAATCACAGAAATCAAAATGAGAAATGACAGTGGCTTTGGCTAGGATCAAAGATATATTTTTGTAATAAAGTCAACAGGACTTAACCGATGGAGGGGCCGAGAAGAATCCAAGAGTCATCTTCCAAACATGGGTTGTGCTGGTAGCTACACGACAGAATCAACCTGCTAAAAGACACTCATTGAGCTGTAGACTTAAAATGAGTGAATGTATGGAGGGTAACTTGTACCTTAGTTAAGCTGCTTAAGGTGAGTCCTAGGCTTTTGGCTAAACAGTAGTTTTTTTAGAAAGGTGATACATAGGAAGGATACAATAAAACGTTTTGATTTTGACAAATGATTGTATATGTCACGTATCATATCTATCACTGAGTCATTTTCTTGAATCCCCAAGCTTCATTCCACTCAAAAAAATGAACAAAAATCAATGTCCTACATGCCTTCCATCACCATGCCACCTATTTATTTACAATTCCTGGAGCTTGCTTTTACCACTCTGTCAACCCAATTATGGTCTAAGAGGGGAGACAAGTATAGAAAATCCCAGGAAGGCGAGTCAGGGCCATCTTATAGAGAGGACCTAAAGTAACAAACTAACCAACAGAAACGCTTTCATGGCACCAATGGGATTTGAACATTCAGTTTGAGAAACACTGGCCATCACTAATTAAAACCCAAATATTGAACTGCTTCATTCATGATTATATGACACGAATATAAATAAACTAGCACTTCAAATATTTCTACTGCTGCTGAAAATCAGCTTTGATAATGGAAAGAATGTAGGGCTGGGAGTTCAACAGACAACACCTTTAAAACAGGTTCAGAGACATTGTGTGACTGATTTATGTACCATGACCAATGATACAGGCCAGAAGTAGCTGGTTTTTTGTTTTGTTTTTTCTTTTATTTAATACTTTTATTGGGGGCTCTTCCATCTCTTATCACAATCTATACATTCATCCAGCACCAGAACTAGTTGTTCTGATCTTCTGATTCCAAATTCTGTGTCCTGTCTAACATACCTCTGAGTAACAAATGAATTACTCTACCGCCCCATGAATGTTTCTGTATTTTATCTCCACAGATGTTAAATCAATGTCTCTTCTATGGCATAATACATAACCAATATAGAATAATAGAATTTATTCTATTGGGAATCAGGCTAGCTAGATCTAGTCCTGTATTTAGCTCTAGTTGTGAGTTCAATTTAATTAGACCTTGATTTCTGACTGTTAAAAATATTAGATGATCCCAGGGTTCCATCTTGATTTCTCATGCCTATAGACCTAATGGTCCTTTAATGCTGCAAGCACAAGATGGTTTGGTGGCAAAGTCCTAAAACTTCAGATGTCTGCTTTTTCCAAGTAGTGATCAACTTTTCACAATAAAAATCTTCAGGGTTTACCATTGAGAAACTAAAATAATGGTCACCCTCTTTATGTTTTCATTTGTTGCAGGACACATATATATGTCATGCCATCACACAAAGCTTTGCTATGGGTTCAATCTCCCCCCGTGACTTCATCGACTTAGTTCACATCAAGCACTATGAAGGGAATATAAAGATTATCAGTTGTAAGTGAAAATATTTCTGCCCATATTGCTATGTCGTTAATAATGTTTCCTCTTGAATTCATGGCTTGTAACAAAGGATATTTGCAATAGTCCCCCCTCCATGTCTTTATTAACAAAGTACGGTGCCGTGCAGACAAGCCTGATGTGATGCACAGCTCCAGAGGTGGCTCGTACATCTTAGTCATCAGATCATGTCATACCTGGATTGGTGGTGTATATACCCAGCAGTGCCGAATATACATAGACACTTGGAGGCTAAATCTTCCACTTGTACACTCCAAAATCCCATAGAAACAAAATGAAGCTCTCAAGATAAAAAGTTTTAGATTTGAATGCTCTGAATGGGCATAGCCAGTAACTACTTATGGAATTTTCATGAGATAGGTATTTATATAATATGCTCACAGTACTTCTTTTAAAAATGAGGTTCTGATATATTTCTAGTTCTTTCCACAATGTGTCACTGTGTAAAATATACAGATGTCTAACCATTTCCTAACTTGAATTATCCAGAGTACCCCAGTTCATATCATAAGAATCTTTGGACTCAGACAACTTAAGAGAGCTCATGGTGAGTGGAGATTTGGTAGAACAGTGTCCTAATGCCCTGCTTGTCTCCACAAATCCATTTAATCTTATAATTTTCCTCCCATCCCTCGATTGTAGATAGAGGGCGTTCTCCATAGACTTCTTTCCTATGTAGTTCCACAAATGAATCTTGGGCTCCCACTGTCAACCTTGCCTTTTTTACCCCATTGGGTTCTTAGAATTCTGTGTGATGAGATTGAACTATGGAAAGATTATTATAGATGTATTTCCACTTTTAGTGAGGGCATATAAGAAGTTGTTCACGGACTACCATACAAAAAAAAAACAGGCAGTATTGTAAATCTGTTACTTTCCTTATTTTAAAAGTAGGCCATTTGTATCTCATTATTAGTAGTCAAAGAAGGTTTTTTTAAAAAGTAACAAGAGGTTAAAAACTACTGAATTTGCTGTAAGCAGTTTCCTTGAAATGAATTTTTGATGACTTCTGTGTTTTCTTAATGCTTCTTAGTTTCTTTTAGTTTATTATGCACCTTACAGGCACCTTGCTAATAATAATAAATCTAGTTAATAAATTTAAATAAAAAATAATTGCATTCATTATCTCACTATAGAGGAAGCCAACATTTACAGTAATGAGGCACTTAAGAAGACACATAGCTAATAAATCACTGAGGAGAATTAAAACTCAAGACTTTTTGATATTCCAAAATCTGTGCTAATTACCACATTCTGTGTCAGTGGACCCTGACTGTCTGTGGAAAATAACAAATTTTCTTTTAGTTGAGACTAACATAATCTCCATTTTGAAACACAGAGGAAAAAAATGTTCTTTTAAATACCATCTCTGTCCATACAACTTTGTCAGACCAACATAACTGACCCTGTTCAGAGGATGATGCAGGACAACTAGCTGAATGTGGGAAATTCACTCAGCCACATTGGTCTCTAAGCTATCCTTTAATATGGTAATCCCCAAAGAACAGATGTGTTTATTTTGAAATTATGCAAGAAAAGCCATCTTCTCTGACAAGAGCACAACTCAGTTGTACAGAATGAACAAATATTTATTTTTCCCACTTTTAGAAAAGGTATATATAAGCTTATATTAAAATTAATAGTCAAATCACCTTCCACTAGTCACACAGTATTCAAATATCATGCCACATAGTTCCTAAAACAAACGCTACTGATTTTTAATTTTATTTTGAGGTTAGTCGGAGACTTGACAGAAGGGGAGAGGAGAGTACTTCTATCTTTGTTGACATAAGCACTTTCAATATATATTTTTAAAGACACACACACAAAAATAATTTTTTTAAAATAAAGACACAATTAACTAAATTCTATAATTCTAATCTACTAGTAGAAGTCTTTGTGGTTCCTTCTTTTGCTCTAAATATCAGAATTAAATAAACTAACTTTTTTCTTTTATAAAAAACAGCAATCTCAATAAAACCATTTTTTTAATTCATAGAAAAATACAATGAAAAGATGATGGAATTTCACCCACACACACAAGAAGTAACAGCATCTTTTGGTTTATAAATTCTAGCACAAAAAATTTTGAACAGCCAATAGTTCCAACTGGCATTTTCTCCCTTTTTGCCTCCATGATATTCCTATGCACAAACATACATGCACATGTATAAAGCTGTTAATGCTGACAACAGGTAGGTTCAGTTAAATGAGAGATCATTGTTTAAAACGACACTACTAGCATTAGAGGTTTTTAATATTGTGCAACAAATTTCATTTTACTTTTTTTAATCTCTTAGCTAATAGTGTGGATCTTCCAGAATACCCTCCATCTTCAAATTATATCCGTGGTTATAACCATCCCTCTGGCTATGTATGCTCGCCTCTACCAGAGTAAGTGCTCTTTGTCTCATTTGAATCGTACACCTAGTACACCTATTGACTTGTCCACTAACGAGTTCCTGGCTCATCAACTGAAATAGCGTGTGTGCCAGCATATTCTGTTGGAAGAAAATTTCCCTTTAACATGCTGTTTTTAAAATTAATCTCTTTTAGTGCTTTTTATATTAAATATAATCAGAATGGTTATTCCCTTAAAGTATAAATTGAGGTTGTTGGGAATATTCTCCATCTTAGCTAATCATTCGCTGCTGATACTTTGTGGTCCTCCATTAAAGTCACTTCTGTGAATTATTAAGGAAGTTTTCTGAATTAAAAATATTGTTTCCTTTGAATTATGACATATCTACATTTATCAGTAAGTAAAGCTTCACCTTGAATGGATTCTTCATCTGCTGTTGATCTTTGGTGGCATAGTGGCTACACATTGGGCTGCAATCTGCAAGATTAGCAGTTCAAAACCACCAGCCACTCTGGGGGAGCAAAACAAGGCTTTCTACTCCCAGGAAGAGTTACAGTCTTGAAAACTCATAGGGGCAGTTCTGCCCTGTCCATACAGGGTCTCTGTGAGTCAGCATCAACTGTATTGTGCTATAATTTCCTGTTAAGTCTCCTGTTAGCCACATAGAAAACTTTAAAAACAACATTATTATCTGTAATGATGCTATTCGCTAGTACATATTAGAAACCTTTTGTTCAGCATATAAAGATAGCACTAGGAGATTCTTGAAGATCATATAAAATGCTAGTAAGTATTCTGAGCCCAGCCATTGGCGGTACTATATTAACGTTAGAGTTGGACAAAAAGGAAGAACATGTTCAGCATATATTAAGCTGAAAGAACTGAAGGAAAAAGTTTCAAGCCTCAAGTTGCAACATTTAAAGATTCTTTGGGCAAAATAATGAATGATACAGGAAGCATCAAAAGAAGGTGGAAGGAGTTCACAGAGACACTGTACCAAAAAGAATTGACTGACATTCAACCTTCTCGAGAAGTAGCATGTGGTCAAGAACGAATGGTACTGAAGGAAGATGTTCAGACGATACTGAAGGCATTATAGGAAAACAAGTCTCTGGAAATTCTGGAATACCAAGGGAATGTTTCAGCAAGTTGATGAAGTACTGGAAGCACTCATTTATCTAGGCCAAGAAATTTGGAAAACAAGCTACCTGGCCAACCAACTGGAAGAGATGTATGTTTGTGCTTATTCCCAAGAAAGGTGGCCCAACAGTATGTGGAAATTATAGCACAATATCATTAATAACACATACAAGTAAAATTTTGCTGAAGATAATTAAACAACAGTTACAGCAGATCAGCAAGGAGAGACCAGAAATTCAAGTGGGATTCAAAAAAGAGCATGGCACAAGGATGTCATTGCTGAAGTCAGACAGATCTTGACTTATAGATGATTAAAAGAATGGATTTTGCAATCAAAGCCCAGCTTTGACATTACCTATGTGAGGAGCTATGGTGGCATATTGGCAGCCTAACACTTAACCCAGTGTGCCACCAGGGCTGCTTATATAGGTAGACAAATCAGACATGCTTCTAACTGTTGCACTCATGTCATTGAACTGTGAACATAGATGACTTGCTAATAAAACAAGATCATATTCAACATTAAGTCTACTCCTGCTTTTCATTTTTATAGATAGAAACTGAGAAACTCTGTTCACATAAATAATGTGTTAAAATTGCAGGAGTATAATGCTATCAATATTATTCAATCTCTTGAACTGCTATTGAAAATATATGTACAGGCCTATCATCAAAAAATTATTTTTGATCATCTACCAGCTGACAACTCAATTAGATCCTTCAATTTTGTTGAAAGCCAAGAACTGAAAAGGTTGAGTTTTAAAAGGGTTTTTTCCTTCATTTGTTCATTTTCTCAACTCACTTCCAACAGATCAACTTTTCCCTCTAAACCTCAAAGGTTTTTATGTGCCAGGATAAGGCACGAGGGTGCTATGCAGAGGAAGACAGGTATGTCTTTGTTCCATAATGTGCGAAAGGTGACTGCACAGTCTGGTGGGAAAGAAAAGAAAAATCTCCATCGGAGTCATCTGTACAGATTCCTTTAAGGACAAGGAATATATGTATGTTGAGAACTGGGAAGTGCATTCCCTTAGAAGTATTCATCCTTTCATACTCCTTGAAGTTTGATATTTCATCGTATTTTCATGACTGGGCTAGTTCATAAAAGGTTACAATCTTCTTGGAGGGCAACTTGGAAATACTATTTCAAACTGATAAAAACACAAAACCGAGCATGTTATGTTCAGTATTTGGGGAAGTGTGAATGAATACATTACAAGGAACTTTTATTGCAACTTGATTTACAGTAGCAAAAAGTGAGAAATGGTAGTAAGGGAATAGTTCCATAAAACATGAAATACTGTATACAGCCATAAAAAATTAAGCAGATCTGTACCTATCAACAAAGAGGAAAGTTTATAGATATATCTCATTGTTATTAAATATATATATGTATATTGTGGAGTATACAAGTGTGTATTTATACATATGCACATGTGTATACTACCTTATATAGAGACAACAATCTGACAATGCAATCAAATCTATGAACTATGATTTTCACTAGGGGACCCAATAAAGGAATAAGGGAATGAAAAATCATCTACAGTTATAAAATTTCTGAGTTGCTTAAGTTGTTGTAATATGTATATATTACTTTTAAGGAGCTCTGGTGGTGTAGTGGGTTTTAAGCTGGGCTGCTAACCGCAAGGTCAGCAATTTGAAACCACCAGCCAGTCTGCAGGAGAGAGTAGGGTTTTTATTCCGAGAATAAGTTAGTGTTGGAAACCCACAGGAGCAGCTCTCCCCTGTCCTATAGAGTTGCAATCAGAACCAACTAGATAGCAGTGAGTTTGGAGATGTTGTTGTTGTTGTTGTTTTTTGGGGGGAGGGGGCTTTCTGGTTTAATTTGAAAAATTAGTAAGATTACCAAAAAGGAAAAACTACCTAAAACTGAAGAATTTAAGATACATTCTGACTATTTCAATGTTTTTCTGTAAAATTTTCCCTTAGAAGGTTGTGGCTACAAATCATTCTGCCTTAAAAAAAGAATTTTCCCTTTCTTTAGTAATTACTTACCCTATGTTATGCATTGTGATGGGAACTAGTTGTGTATACAAAAATCTTGCTCCCCCTAAATTATAAATTCAATAAGTTAATTTAAGAATTATCTTTTTTTTAAACACTTCCTTTGCTTCCAGGAACCCAGGATATTCCAAACTAGTGGTGTTTGTCCAGACAGATATGAGAGGAAAATTGCCCCCTTCATTGATTGAAGCTACCATGCCTTCTAATTTAATAAGCTTTGTCTACCATGCAAAAGATGGGATTAAGGCATTCAGAAATTCAAGAGAAAGTTCATACCACCATAAGAATCATTCGTCACTGCGACAGAAGAAATGAGGCCATTCTGCTATAAAATCAGGTGTAGCAGTAACTGTACTTTGCTTCTAAGTCCATTTGCATAAATACTGACAAAATCTTCTAGGCATAATTCTTGTACAAATGACAGAAGGGGCTTTGTGAGAATGTGAACGTAGTTGTATAAGAGAATAGCAATAAATAACACTTTTTAAGTCTCAGAGAAGAATGATGTCAAATACCAATTGTACTTAATATTTCTGTTACTTTTTTTTTCTCTCTCTCTCTCTCGAAGATGCTCTGACTAGGGAAAGGAGCAGATGCAGTCAGACATCCATTGTCATTAAAGATTGAAAAACACTTTCACTTGTTTTCCACTTTACTTACTGCTTCAGTTGAGAAGGTGGGAAACACAAACACAAAAAACTGGAAAGAGTTCCAATAGAATGCATGTTCTGGCCTCATTTTAGCTGCTGTATTGAGCTTCTTCATTGTCTCTTCCCACAGATAGTCAATTTGATTTCTATGTATTCCATTTGGGAGAAGTCCATGTGTACAGTCACCTTTTATGTTGTTGAGGTATTTACAATGAAGTTGTTGTCTTGCAAATTTCCATCATGCTATCTCCAACTTCATTTTTATCACCAAGACCATATTTTCCAACTACTGTTCCTTCCTTTCTTTCCAACTTATACATGCCAATTGCCAATAATTACCAATGCATCTTGATTGCATGCTTGATAAATTTCAGACTGAAGAAGTAGGTAGAATTTTCAATTTCTTCATCACTAGCTTTAATAGTTGGTATATAAATTTGAATAATAGTTGTACTGACTGCATTTCCTTGTATTTGGGTAGATATTATTCTATCACATACAGCATTGTACTTCAAGATAGATCTTAAAATATCCTTTTTGATGATGAATGGGGTGCCATTCTTCTTGAATCTGTCATTCTGAACACAGTAAACCATGATTTTCTGATTCAAAATGACCAATACCAGGCCATTTCAGCTCACGAATGCCTAGGCTATCAATCTTTTTATGAGTTCCACTTCATTTTGACAACTTCCAATTTTCTTAGATTCATACTGCATACATTCAGAGTTCTGATTACTAATTGATGTTTTAAGCTGTTTCTTCTCATTTTGAATCCTGCCCCATCAGCAAATGGAAGGTCACAAAGGCTTTACTCTCTCAGACTGTACTCCATCCACAGCATTATGGTTGACTCTAAGAAGGCCACTCGTCCCCAGTCATATTTTGAGTGCCTTTGACCTTAGGAGCTCATCTTCTGGCACCATATCTGACAATATGTTGTTTCTATTTGTGAAGTTTTCAGTATCTGCCATTGTTTCAACACTATCAAGGAGTTCTGTGGCTAATTCCTTAGAAGCAGACAGTGTATTTCTTCTTTTTTTTTTTTTAACATTTTATTAGGGGCTCATACAACTGTTATCGCAATCCATACACACATCAATTGTGTAAAGCGCATTTGTACATCATTGTCAAAACATTCTCTCTCCATTCAAACCCCCGACATTAGGTCCTCATTTTTCCCCTCCCTCCCCGCTCCCCCCTCCAGCATGAGCCCTTGATAGTTCACAAATGGGTATTTTGTCATATCTTGCCCTGTCCGACGTCTCCCTTCATCCACTTTTTGGTTGTCTGTCCCCCAGGGAGGAGGTCACACACAGCTCCATGTAATCGGTTCCCTCTTCCCTACCCATTCTCCCTTTACCCTCCCTGTCTTGCCACTCACACCACTGGTCCTATAGGGCTCATCCGTCCTGGATTCCCTGTATTTTCAGTTCCTATCTGTACCAGTGTACCTCCTCTGGTCTAGCCAGTCTTGCAAGATAGAATTCGAGTCATGGTAGTGGGAGCGGGGAGGAAACCTTTAGGAACTAGAGGAAGGTTGTATTTCTCATCATTGTTACATCGCACCGTGACTGGCTCATCTCCTCCCCGAGACCCCTCTGCAAGGGGATCTCCAGTGACCTACTAATGGGCTTTGGATCTCCACTCCGCACTCCCCCCATCATTCACCATGGTAAGATTTTTTGTTCTGATGATGCCTTACACCTGATCCCTTCGACACCTCGTGGTTGGATAGGCTGGTGTGCTTCTTCCATGTGGGCCTTGTTGCTTCTGAGCTTGATGGCCGCTTGATTACCTTCAAGCCTTTAAGACCAGTGTATTTCTTCTTTAAGAGCATCTCAAGAATAGATTTGATACATTGAACATTAATGACAGAAGACTTGATGAACTTCGGATTAACGTCAAGAACATCATGCATGAAGAAAGAAAAAGGTCATTAAAAAGGCAAGAAAGAAAGAAAAGGTCAACATGGAGGTCAGAAAAGACTTGAAACGTGCTCTTAATCATAGATTAGCCAAGGCGAATGGTAGAAGTGATGAAGTCCAAGAGCTGAACAAAATCCCAAAGGGCAGTAAAGTAATGAAATGTGCAAAGACCTAGGGCAGTGGCTTTCAACCATCTTAATGCCGAGACCCTTTCATACAGGTCCTCATGTTGTGGTGACCCCCCCAACCAGAAACTTATTTTTGTTGCTATTTCATAACTGTAATTTTGCTACTGTGATGAATCGGGTGACCCCTCTGAAAGGGTCGTTTGACTGCCAAAGGGGTCATGACCCACAGGTTGAGAACTGCTGACCTAGAGTTAGAAAGCCAAAAAAACCCCCACTCAATAATCTTAAAGAACTCAAGAAAAAAAATTCAAGCCCCCAGTTGCAATACTGAGAGAGTCTATGAGAAAAATATTGAATGCAGGAAGCATGAAAAGAAGATAGAATACAATGTACCAAAAAGAACTAGTCAATATTCAACCATTTTGAGGGGTAGCCCATCTGATTAAGAACCTATGGAACTGAAGGAAGAAATCCAAGCTGTACTGAAAGCATTAGCCCCAAACAAGGCTCCAGGAATTAATGGAATAGAAATTAAATGTTTCAGTGAGCTGATGACCCACTGGAAAGCACTCATTTATGCCAGGAAATTTGGAGGAGACCTACTTGGCCAACTGACTGGAATCAGATCCATAATTGCCCAAAAGAAGGTTCAGAATGATCAAATTATAGAACAATATTATTGATATTACATGTAAGTAAAATTTTGCTGAAGATCACCCAACAATAATTTGCAGCAGTAAGTACATTGACAGGGAGCTTGCCAGATGTTCAGACCAGATTCAGAAGAGTACATGGAACAAGGGATATCATTGCTGATGTCCGATGGGTCTTGGCTGAAGGCAAAGAAAACCAGAAAGAAGTTTACTTGTGCTTCATTGACATGCAAAAGCATTTGACTATATGAATCATAAAGTATGGATAACCTTCATAAGAATAGGAATTCCAGGCAACAAATGTACAAATGTGCTTGATGTAACAACATAATGGATGTATGTATGGCTTGTGATAAGAATTGTACGAGCCCCCAATAAAATGATTTTTTTAAAGGGTAAAAAAAAAAAGGAAATTCCAGAACACTTAATTGTGCTCATGAGGAACCTGTACATGGATTAAGAGACATTTATGGGAACAGAACGAGAGAATACTGCATAACTAAAAATCAGGAAAGGTGTGCATCAGGGTTGTATCCTCTCATCTACTTAATCAGTATGTTTGCTGAGCAGATCATTGGAGAAACTGGATTATATTAAAAAGAATGTGGCATGTATTAGTCTGTGTACTGGAGAAACAAATCCACAGAAACTCATGTTTAAGAGAGAGTTTTATATAAAGAGTAAGTGCACATCAAGAAAACATCCCAACCCAGTGCTGCCTAAGCCCACAAGTCCAACATTAGCCCATATGTTCAACACCAATCCACAAAGTTCTCCATCTCACAAAACAAACACAATGATGCCAACTGCAGGAGGAAAGCCGAATCAGTGAATGTGTAAGCATCTCAGCACTGGCAGTGGTCTCCACATGGCTGCTCTAGCACCCAGGGCTCCATCAGGGTAGGTCCATGTGGCTTCTCCTTGGGGATGTCTTGCAGGAAGTCAGCCTTGCAAGCTGAAGCAGGGAACTGGTAAGGCAGCTGCACCCTGGCCCGACCATCACAAAGAATGAGACCCGAGAACTAGAAAGGGGAGGCTCACCAAGCCATTTATTTCTCCACCCTTCAATTAACCCCACATGTTTTATCGGCCAGGTCGGCACACTAAACTATATCATGGCATCAGAATTTGATAAAGGATTATTAATAACCAGTGTTGTGCAGATAACACAACCTGAAGCTGAAGCACTTGCTGATGAAGATCAAGGATTTCTGCCTTCAGTATGGATTGCAACTCACTGTAAA